GGAAAGCCAAATCATAGTCATCTGTGTGTTCAGTCAGTATTGATGGTGACAAACTCTATTAAGATTTTCTCAAATCTTGGGCTAAAATCTTGGTGAAAATGACTAATTGTGTCTGAATTTGGCTAAATTGATTACTGAAGATGGTCCTGTTTTATACATGGACAGAAATCTGCCTTACAGGTATGGACACAAGAAAGCTATTGCTTGAAGTAAAACTCTTCCCTTTAACCATTTCTCTGTCCTTATCAAAATAAAGATCTTAGGTGTCCAGGAGCTGAGTTTGACTTACTGGATTATATTGAATGTACACAATTACAATTCTGTTTAGATTCCTAGCATAAGGATAAATCAGAGGTATATTTCATCTGGCACGCTTGATGCAAAGATGAGATGGGTTATTCAAAGAAGAACTCAGAACTAATGATTCAGATGAGCTATAGCTAAAATGAGCTTTCATGCCTACTAATCCCATCTTCTTGTTTAACTATTTTAGAATTACAATAACATAATTTTAATAAATTCAGGACTTTAATAAATTCATAATTTTAATAAATTTAGATCTCAAAAAATCAACTTCCATATTCATGAATCATAATCTTCTGTTTTAAGATGTTTTCATATGTAAGTAAGTGATTGTTAAAGCTGAAGTTTAGATGCTACCTTGATGCTTGCTGTACCCCCAACCTAGGTAGTTCTGCACATTAATTCTGACTCCGAAGTGACTTAAGCAGATCATACACTCCAGTTATGCATTGTGGTCTGATGCCAAGTGACCTGTAGGTTTTTCTGAATATACGTCAGCATATTTTTTTGCCAGATCACAAATTGAGTAATCCAGCGCCTCTGTCATTCTTGTCACTTTATTTGTATTTACTGTGTCTGGCTTTTGCACACTGTAAACAGCACTAGTGGAGTTGACTGTGCTTTTTATATAGAAGAAGGGTTGCTATAAAAATGACTAGAAGATGATATGTGGCTAGGGAATAAATATTACTCATTCCCAGTGAAATGTAGTGAGTGGATGGACGGTATGTCGTGCTGATTATATCCATGTGAAAGATACATCAAGGGCCTGGAGCTAGAAAGATGAAGAATATTTTAAAAGGCAGAAGAGAATAAAGCTGAGGTTATACATTTACTGCAAATTTCAGGAGCTAAGAAGTCTTGCTCTTCCTTCCTTGTTAGAACAGGCCACTGCCAGGTATGTGTCGTGTTGTGTTCTCAGCTTGTATTCCTGATGGGGGCTGGCAGCTGGAGCTGGATTCACTTGCTGAAATGTATGTGTTTATTACCACTTGGGATGCTGTAGGGCATCCGGCTGCTTGTGCAGTAAGGTGTAATTCTTGCCCCTATTACTGTTTTTAATACCAGCTGTATGTGGGTATTTTGGACATACTAGGGTGTCTAAGATACCAGTAGGTGCCTATAATTATGTGCTTGAATTGAACTTCTAATTCCTCTTGCTTGTTTCCTTTCATTGGTGTTATGTTTACGTGTGTACATTAGATTTAATTTCTTTTTGTATTGCAGGTTTCTAGTAGTTTGAAATTACAATTTGTTGCTCCAGTTAAATTCTGATCAATCAAGCGTGTTTTATTTCTTGTTACAATGGCAAAAAGCTAGCCTATCTTGTATTTGTTAAGCACTTTTTTTTTAGATTTCTCTATTTCAATAGGAATAATAAGTCTTGAATTTGTATCATTATTTAGTATTTATTTATTGCTGTCTTACCATAAGGGGGACATACACATTTTCCTTTTTCTTCAGTCAAAAGGAACATACGTCCTTATCAAGTATGTAGGAAATGCAGCTTTTTCAGCAGGAGTAGTCCCAGATTCCAATTGGAGATTTTGAGATCTGTGTGTGTTTGTGTATTATTTGAATATTTTAATTATCCCCCACCCCCAGTTTTCAGTTTTTATCCATGCACTGTGGTGAAACATGTCTATTTGAGAAAGTAAAACATCCATATCTATGCTTTTGTCATCCAATCATGAGAATTATTTTTTTTCCTCAAGAATTACAAATATGTAGAATCTTACAAGAGGTCATGAATCTTGAGATAATCGTAATTTTCATTGCAGTCATGTTGGTGTCCAGAGTCCACATGATATGACTTCAGGCAGAGTGAAAGTGCTTGCTTTGAAAGAAAAGTTGGAGGTTTTGTAAGCCAGTTCCTTTAATGGATAATTAATAAGGAGAGGGAAGGAAAGAAGGCTTTCTGACATCCTGCTTGTTTAAGTATTTATGTTGCTTTAAATACTTGAGTAGTTCTGTGAGACTAACATACATTTGAATTAAATGTAGGCAGTGATCAGTTATGGTGTGTTGACCAGTTTAGTTGGGCTTTGTTTGTTTTACCTGTTGTTTGTTGTTTGTTTCTTTTCTCAGCACTGAGAAAAGTAAGTCCTAACTCAGTATGAATATGATAGAGTTATAGAATCATAGAACAGTTTATCATCCAACCTGGCCTTGAACACTGCCAGGTATGGAGCGCTCACAGTTTCCCTGGGCAACCCATTCCAGTGCCTCACCACCCTTACAGTAAAGAACTTCTTCCTTATATCCAATCCAAACTTCCCCTGTTTAAGTTTTAACCCATTACCCCTTGTCCTGTCACTACAGTCCCTAATGAAGAGTCCCTCCTCAGCATCCTTATAGGCCCCCCTTCAGATACTGGAAGGCTGCTATGAGGTCTCCATGCAGCCTTCTCTTCTCCAGGCTGAGCAGCTCCAGCTTTCTTAGGGTATCTTCATACAGGAGGTGCTCCAGTCCCCTCATCATCCTCGTGGCCCTCCTCTGGACTTGTTCCAACAGTTCTATGTCCTTTTTATGTTGAGGACACCAGAACTGCACACAATAGTGCTCTTCAGTTGGCTAACTGCAGGTTATTCTTAGGTCCACAATCTGGACATGGTTCAACATTTCTTTAAGAATGAATGAAAAGTTTGTTCACAAGTCTGGTATGTGTTATTTAAAATGCAGGAGGCTGTTAAATTGAGTATCTTTAGCTATATAGATGAGTCTTTCAAACAGATTAACATGGAATTATCATAGACACCTATAGGAAAATTTTAGTGCTCTACAATTACACTCTTTGATTCTGTGTTTTGTTTCTGCGTAGCTTCTATATATTACTCAATAAAATGAGGATTAATTTTCAGTTTCAATTTTAAACTTTGAGTAAGAATCTTATGTCCTTTACCTAGTGAGCCTGAGATGCAGAAAAAAAAAATTAGTGTATCAGGAAAAAAAAAAAACAAGAGAACTGTGAAATTTTAAACACTATTCTTAATTTGCCTTTTCAGCTCACAGAGACTACCACCTGGCAGTATCAAGCAAACTGGAGTATTTGTTTGCTTGTTTATTTTTTTCCTTCCTGGTGTTAGCCAGCTTAACACCTTTCATAGCTCAGTTGCTTGTGTTTCTGCTGTTGTATCTTTGCTGTGTGTTTAGGGGTCTCCAAGATGACTCAGCTTTTTTCAGTAAGCGTTGTTTTAGAAGCATTTGCAAGGAATAATAGAGATGCTATTACTTTTCCTTTCATTTTTAAGCTGAGAGGGTTTTGAAAAACATATGTTACCCTGTTAAGCCGTCCAGACAAGTACATTGGGTCCTTAGCTGATCATTTGGCTCAGTGTCCTTTCTAGTTACTGAAGGGGAACATGGAAAAGAGCACTCTGGTAGGCAGCAGAGTGTGTCTTCTGCACTGCTGTGCTTACATGATGGTTGGTACGATGATTGAAAACAGCCCCTATGTTTCCCATTTGATTTCACGTCAGAATCATCTGCTGATCGCAGGACAAGCAGATTACTGTGGTTAAGCAGTAAGCATTTGTCAGACTGCAGGGAAGATATTTGCATATATTGTAGTCATGGGATCTGCTCTTCTTTTTTCAGTTGTCTTCATAGTATGTATGTTGAAGTTTAAACTCTGTTGTATACCTTTTATGTATTCAGAAAGTGAGACAGTGTCTGCATTATTATCCCTATGAAAAATATTTTTACATGGCAAAGGACGTGTTGATAAGTGAAGTCCCTAATTGCTGTAAATAAATCTCATAAGAGCAACTACTTTCTTTCCTTGATTGTGCCTTTCATTGATAAAATGATAATAAACATAACTTTAGAGATACAGACACAGAGACATGCATGAGAAATAAAGCATGGTTAACAGCAGTAGCTGGAGTTTCAGAGGAAACTACTTGAAAGTATAAACAGGTAGAAAAGCCACTGTTCAAGATCTTTGATGAAATGAAGCCAAGAGTTGAAAGGAATTTTATTCGCTTTTTAGTGTTAAATAAACCTTATTGACCTTCTTTTTTAAAGACAGGAAAGATTGTGTAAAAAAAAAATAGTTTGAAAACTAAAATCACCTTTGACATAAAAGATGATAGCTTCACAGGCAAAATTCAACCTGAATTTTTCTCTTGTGAGAAACTCCCTGGAAATACAAGTGGGTGTGTTCTGCTTGGGTAATCACATGTAAATGCAGAGGTGCCAATATAAAAATGACTGTAGTGTCTTTGAAGGCACTCTGAAGCTTCCAGTCAAATATACTCTTGAATAATTAAATCTTTTTTGGTTTTAATTTACCTGAAAAACATAATGACATCCTCCCAAGTACCAGATTTCCTTCCCTTCCCTTATTTCTCATGCAAAGAACAGAGTATTTTAATTGAGATATTGCTGATAACCTGTACGGTGAAGAAAGGTGCTGAAAGAGCAGGTCCAGATAGTTCTTTGTTCTGACCCTTTGTAACCTGTTCTTAATGCAGAAGTGTCAGCTTGATAATCCTAGGTGCATCTGAGGTGATCTTAGAAGTCTGACCTCCCCTCTGCAAATAAAGGGAGGCAGTTCTGTCCGCTTTGTTAGGCTCTCTGACTCCTGGCTCTTCATTGTGACCATTTATGTGAACCTCCTTGTAAGATTGGCTGCTCAGCTGGCCGTACATGGTTTTAATCTTTTGGGGTTTGCTTTTTGTTTGTTTTTTTGGCAGATACTGAGCGTCTCTATTCAGTAGTGTTCGAAGAGATCTGTGGGAGTTTTGGAAAGTCCTATACCTGGGATGTGAAATCCTTGGTCATGGGGAAAAAAGGCACAGAAGCGGCGGAGATTATTCGAGATGTTCTAGATCTTCCACTAACCAAAGAGGAGTTACTACATGAAAGTAAAATTAAGCAGGAGAAGATATTCCATACTGCTGAATTGATGCCAGGTATGTTTCTTTTCAATGTTTTTATGTTGTTTATGGAATTACATAAAAGCTAACCAAGGTAGAAATTTTTAATTTGCCTTCCAAAAACCAGTTACGTCACTCTTGTTTCAGCAAATTTTACTCAAATCTACCTGTTAAGGAGATATTTTATGTGTTAAAGGGTACTGAATATTTTTTTCTTGTGTACTTGGAAAGCAGCATTTTTTTTCTGTGTGTTTTAAAAGAAGAAAAATGAATTCTGCATTAATTCTGTTTTCTAAACCAGTCATTCTTTATACTTGTTGTTGGTATACAACAACATTAATTAAACTTGTTGTTTAATTCAGAAAGTTATTTTTCTCTGGCTATGAGAGAAGTACAAATACACTTTTAAACGTTCAGGCAAATGTATGAGCCCGTGAGTTCTTTCAGCTGGGATTAATCTTGCCTAACCTGAACACTGAAATTTAAGCGTGGTGTCTGAGCCTGCTGTGTGTCAACGGAGAGGGAAGGTTTCTCAGGTTATCCTAAGGCAGGTAAATTTCATCAACTCTGAAGATATATGCCATTAACCAGTGTAGGAAGCCCAAATGAGTTGGTTAACAGGGTACCTCAAGATAAGCAAAAGGATGAATCTTATCTGTGGTGTGAACTCATACTTTTATATTGCGTTACATTTACATCTGAAATGCTTAGAGAAAAATCTTCAGCCATCCAAGACAAGCGATACCTAAAGGTGTGATTGCTGTTAACTTTTTGTACAGTGTTAAGCTTCCTGGAGCAAATGTCAATATTTTTTGAAGGAAAAGAATAAAAAAGAGGAGTTAGGAGAGGGGGAGGAATAAAAAAAAGTATTAAAGTGAAATAGCTACACGTCATTGTAACAAGTCTAGCTTACAACTTTCTCTTTGTGTGCCTGTTTGTTCTGACAATCTCTACATCACCTTAATGATTTGGTTTTTAGATTTTTTTTTTTTATGCCTCGTTTCATAATGCATTAAGGGGATGAAAGTTAAAAATACATGATGTGTTAGGAATTAATAAGTAGCAGCAAAAATAAAATACGTAAAATTTTTTACGCAGTTTAAAAACTTGAGTATTTTGAGCCAACTTAATTATCTTTCTTATATGCAAGGTTTTTCAAATTGCATCTTTCTCACTTATAGATCCACTTAAAATTGTAAACCTGAGAAAACAAGAAAGATGTGAGGGATGTGTCTTCCTTGTTTTGTGTCAAACTTCTGGGACTAACTTTGCAGCTATATCTTTTGCAAAACAAACAAAACCTAGTCTGGGTTTAGAAAATGCCAGATGGACAGACTGGGTGAAATGTAAGGAGGCATAGAGAAGAGTCACTGTAAAGTGACAGCATACGTAATAGATGCCATTAAGTGGATATTCTGTGCCTGCTAGGGATTGTGATAATGTGGCTGAGCTGGCTTGAACAGAGTTGCAGAGACGTGATGGAACAGATTAGCCAAAGGAACATGAAGTTTTGTGCTCTTCCTGCCTTCAAAAAGTGAATTCTGGGCTTGCTGAAGCTGGGCTATTACAGATGAAACAAGCAAAATACTTACTGGGACAAGGAAGTAAACTTTTTTATCATCGTCAGAATTGTTGAACTGATTGTCTTTTCAGTTCAACTAAATACATGTGATAACTTTCTTCAGGCTATTTTCTAAAGCAGAATTTATGTGAACTTAAATACTTTATGCTGACTGGCTGTTCTGGGGAGCAAAGGCAGCCTTCGTTACTGAAGTAATGAGTTCAATGCTTTATTTGGTAGCAGCATACAAGACACAAGCTGAATTGCCATGAATTTTGAGAAAACCAGGTTGATACAAGCTAATAATCTAAAAAGAAGTGGCTCCAGCTACCTGCTATTTAGTTAAGGACCGACCTGTTCTGATAGCCAGATTTTTTAATCTGATACTTCTGTTCTTTTGTGTCTTCTGAGGATTTATGAACATAATCTTGTTTGTTTTTCATTGTGTTCTTTAATTAAGAATGGACTTCATGCATGTGTTGTGGAAGATGTAAGATGGTGGTAACGTTCAGAGTTCATAATATTCTCTGACTAAATTGGTCTTTCATATAGTTACAGGTAAATATATAGGAAAGAAAGGATTTATTTTCATACTTAAGGCGTAGAGATGATTTGTGCTGAGTCTCCGGCCATCTTTTGAGAGTTAAGGCGCAAGTGAGGTTCTGTTTTTTCAATTAATTTGTACAGTTTTTCCAAAAAATAATATTTGAATTTGGTTTGGTGGAGAGCAGTGCTGAAGACCAACTATGTTTGAAGAAGTGCGTCAAACAAAGCAGTGCTTGTTTCTGGGGACAGAATGAGTTGTGCATGTATTTTTGCCAGTGATGATAACTGTTAATTCCCAAGTCAAGTAGTTGACATGTATGCCAGTGATGGTTAAGGATGGTGTGGAAGTTGTATGAATACTGGCAGCACACAATTCAATTGGCAAAGCAGTTCTTTGCCTGACGGGTTATATCACAGCCATGCCACTTAATGTACAAGAGTTCTGAGGCATTACGAGTTGGAAATGGAATTTTGACTATTTCAGTATGGCTGAACTGACTGACAAACTTCAATGTATCATGTCAAAATCTGTGGTCAAAATACAGATTTAATCTATGAAGAGGATATATCTGTTTCTAATATGGAATTTTCAGTAACTGTTGGAGAGTTTTTCACAGTTGGATTTATTTTTAGTTCTGAAAGAATCTTAGGGAAGGCTAGTTTTGATTCAGTGGAGAAGAGAATTAATCCAAGGCAACGCTGACAAAATGACAGGGCTGCCACTTGTGCTGCTTTTCTAAGTATTTCTGTCAGAGTATAGACATTGTTGTGAGAGTAACATAGCAGGCTTACAGTTTCTGCAAATGCAGTACTACATTGCAGGGAAGTGGATCATCGGAAGAGTAACGAATGACAAGTGGAGCAGAAGAAAACCGTGCATATATATGTTTACCTATACATGTATCGAAGTGCTCTTGCTTAGCTTAAACCCAAAACCCCCAGAAGAATGTAACTCCAAGTTACACAGCTGCCAACAGTTACTATAATATGTCAGAATTACAAAATTAATGCCATAATTTCATAGCAGTTTCTGGGTTTTGGCTTATCATTACCACAAAGTACAGATCCACAGCTACAATGTGGTTATGTATACCTTTCAGACATTTTCCATTCCTGGGTTATTTTCATGATAGCTGGGATTTGTCTGTGGCAGCTCCTGTTTAGCCACTGCAGAATGTGATGTGCAAGCTATTTTCCAGTTCAAGTACAGTTGGCTGTCTCTTGCAGACATGAGGAGCTAGTTTCATAGCTCAGTTTTAGTACCAAATGAAGCCAGTCAGAAATGTCAAAACAAGAGGAAAAAAAAACCCCAGTTCAGTTCCAATGGCAACTCACACTGAAGTTATATATATATTTCTTGAACAGTTTCATTCAACTAGCAGTCTAGCTTACTTAGCTATTCCTTCATTGATTCATGTTGTGTCCTTAACTGTTAAACAGAGTTCCTACTATGTTATCTTTTATTTTCCTTGTTGTTACTGTTTTAATGGTAGGAAATTACTGAGTCCATCCATGCCGGGCTGCGTGAGCCTGTAACCCCTAGAGATTAGTCAGATGGAAACTGGGAATGATGCTGTCTGTTTGGCTCATTTCAAACATTTAGCCTTTGCATTAAGTCCTAAAGCTTTGCAACCCAAACATGCTTTTATCAGAAAGTCAGCAAAACAAGTGTAAGAGGTTCTGAACTGTGTAAAATTTAGTACTTACATTTTAGTACTGTCACTTTTCCGTGGCCATGTACATTGCAGTATGTCTAGACTAAAATGAAATGGTCGATTTGGTGAATGAGTTGTATATGATACCAGAAGGATCTCAGGTACTTTTTAGAGAGTAGTAAGTTGAGAAGGTAGAATTCTTTATTAATAGCCAATCAGGTGGAGAGTAGGTTAATAGTTTCCAAGTCTGCTTTTGTAGCTCAGTAAAAGGATAATGTACAATTTCAGATAGCATTTTTAAACAGTGTCCTAGCAGCAGTTTTAAACAGTGTCCTAGGACAAAAAAAGTAATGTGTGAATCTGCAAGTTATGTTTTCATAGTCTCATGAGATTCAGAAATAGGATTAGAATAGACTAGACCAAACTAGGGCTGGACTATTTCACTTGGAGGGGACCTACAACGGTAATGTAGTCCAATTGCCTGAACAGTTCAGGACTGACCAAGTTAAAGCATTCATGGCAATTACACCAAGTGGTGGATAGCCCCACCTCTGTAACTCTGTCACTTCCACAGCAGCAATGTTGACTTCAAAGCAAGTGTAGATAATGAATAGCTCTGTGCTGATAGGCTTGCAACTGTTGTAGCACACCAGACTACATAAAAATTACTTTTAATCAGCTTTTTGACTTAAGTGAACAGACAGCTGCTTCTGTTCTGATTTTTTATCTTCTTTGTTCAGTGCTTTTAGTGTTCAGAGGCTGCTGAAGTTTTTCCCATAGAATTGCTTTTATGAACTTAAAGGATTGTCATTGAATTTGCTAGAAATCAAATCAACTTGACAAAGCTCTGAGTGGTAATCGTAGCTTTTCTTTGATTAAAGACAGAGATGAAATCTTGAATAGCTTTAAGTGTGATGTGGTATCACATTCAATGTAGGAACTGTACATGATTTTGAAAAAGAGGAGCAGTCTTTTCATACAGACGCTATATCCTTAAGATTTTTATTTGTGCACAACTGGATATAAATTATCAAGACATGAATAATTCATGTACGCAGTTAATTTAAACAGTGCTTGGAGCATTCTGGTTTCCTTTTGTCTTTCTCTCAGCAGTAAATCTTTTCTTCCAAATGCACCCTGAACGCTCTTGGACAGCTTGCTTTCTGCAACACTACCGGAAAAAGAAGTGGACTAGTTCTAAAGACCCTTGATTTTAGTGACCCAGAGATGAGGTGTACTCTGTTCTCATGCAGTTGGTGTGAGTAGAAAGCTAG